ACTGCAGCGTGATATGGCTCCAATGAAAGGTCAGTACAGTTTGTGGCTACGAATACATCACATTCTACAGCAGGGAAAGAATGGTCTCTCACTCCTCAGCTCAGGGAAATCCCAACTAGGATTCTGCTCTCAGCTCTGGCCCCTCAGTCCCACCAGGCTCGTGTCCCTGAGCAAGGAGAGGGCAGTCTGTCCCATCTGTATGGCTCCTCTGGGACTGCAAGAGTATACTGTGCTCTGTTCTGGGCATTTAATTACCAGCAAGATATTGAGGGCTTGGCAGGGAGTTCAGAGATAAGCCACAGACATGCCCCAGACTGGAAAAAGTGTACTGTGGGGTGCTAAAACAAGTGAAATCCCACCCCCTCTGCAAAACAAGTGAGGGAAAGATACAATAGCATCCTGGGGATGTTTCACTGTCAGTCTGGGGAGAGAGAGAATTAAAAGTACAAAGAAGCAATTAAGGGTCAATCTCAGGAGAGATGGACAAATCTGGCTGAGGAAGGGACACGGGAGACACTTAACCCCGAATTCTCTGCAGGGAACCTGTCCTGGAAGGGGGTGATGGGACCTAACAAGGCTTTAAAGGGGGTCTGTTGTACTTAATGCCACCCTCTCCACCCCTGGTGTCCTGCAGGGGCCCCGTGCCACCCCTCCCCCCCGGGGCCCCGCGTGCGCCGCCCCTCCCCACGGGGCCCCACGCGCGCCGCCCCTCGCCCCAGGGTCTCTCCCCCCCCCAGGGCCCCGTGCCCTCCTCTCCCCTCCCCCCCGGGGTCTCTCGCTCCCCCTCCCCGGGGCCCCGCACGCCCTCCCCCCCCCCCGGGTCTCTCCCTCCCCCCCCGGGGCCCCACGCGCCTCCCTCCCCCCGGGGTCTCTCCCTCCCCCCCCGGGGCCCCGCGCCCCCCCCCCCCCCGGGTCTCCGCGCCCCTCCCCCCCCTGGGGTCTCTCCCTCCCCCCCGGGGCCCCGCGCGCCTCCCCTCCCCCCCGGGTCTCTCCCTCCCCCCCCCCGGTGCCCGGCGCGCCCTCCCCTCCCCTCCGGGGTCTCTCCCTCCACCCCCCGGTGCCCCGCGCGCCCTCCCCACCGGGGTCTCTCCCTCCCCCCCAGGGCCCCGCGCACCCTCCCCCCCGGGGGTCTCTCGCCCCCCCCCCCGGGGCCCCGCGCGCCCTCCCCCCCGGGGCCCCGCGCGCCCCCCCTCCCCCCTCCCCCCCCCCCGGGGCCTCCCCCTCCCCCCCGGGGCCCCGCGCGCCCTCCCCTCCCCCCTCCGGGGTCTCCCCCTCCCCCCTCCGGGGCCCCGCGCGCCCTCCCCTCCCCCCCCCGGGGCCCCGCCCTCCCCCCCCCGGGGCCCCGCGCGCCCTCCCCCTCCCCCCGCGCCCTCCCCTCCCCCCGGGGTCTCCCCCTCACCTCCATGGAGACCCGCCAGCCCTGCATGGCGCTGAAGCCGAAGTGCAGCGGGCGCGGCCCGGCCCCGGCGCCGTCCCCCGAGCTCTTCACCGTGCTGGGCTGGGACAGGTAGGCGCCCATGGTGCGGCGGCCTCGGCCGGGGGCGGGGGCCCGGGCCCTGCCGCGGGGACGGGCGGGCGGGGGCGGGCGGGACGCGAGCGGAGCGCGGGAGCGAGGCGGAACCAGGCACCACGGAGCCAGCGGCCGGAACCAGAGCGGCCGGAAGCGAGGGCCATAGAGTCCCGCGGGGGCGCGCGAGCGGCCGGAAATACCTGCCACGGAGCCGCCGCCGGCGGACAGAGCGGCCACCGGGGCCGGGTCGCGGTCCAGGCAGCGCGCGGCGGAGGCTGGTGGCGGGGCAGGCCCGGGAGCAGGAGGTCCGCGTCTCTGGGGGGGCCCGGGAAAGTCCCCCCCACGGCGCCCCCCACACACCCCGGGGCCCCTGTGTGCGCGCCCCTCCCCCACCGCCCCTCCCCCCCCACCCCCGGGGCCCCTTCCCCCCCACACCCCCACCCCCCGCCCCCCCCACCCCCCCCCTTCCCCCCCCACCCCCCCCCCCTCCCCACCCCCGGGGCCCCGTGTGCGCGCCCCTCCCCCACGGCACCCCCCCACCGGGCCCCTCTGCGCCCCTCCCTCACCCCCGGGGCCCCTGTGTGCGCGCCCCTCCCCCACGGCATCGCCCCACCGGGCCCCTCTGCGCCCCTCCCCCACCCCCGGGGCCCCTGTGTGCGCGCCCCTCCCCCACGGCACCCCCCCACCGGGCCCCTCTGCGCCCCTCCCTCACCCCCGGGGCCCCTGTGTGCGCTCCCCTCCCCACGGCATCCCCCCCGCCCCCCCCCACCCCCGGGCCCCGTCGCCCCTCCCCCACGGCATCCCCCCACCGGGCCCCTCTGCGCCCCTCCCCCACCCCCGGGGCCCCTGTGTGCGCGCCCCTCCCCCACGGCATCGCCCCACCGGGCCCCTCTGCGCCCCTCCCCCACCCCCGGGGCCCCTGTGTGCGCGCCCCTCCCCCACGGCATCCCCCCGGGCCCCTCTGCGCCCCTCCCCCACGTGTGTGATCAGTAGGTCACATTTAAGATGAAAGACTAAAAGTCTCTTGGTACCACTGAAGCAACTGGACACTGTTAAGAGCAGGATCCCAGCCTTCATTTGCCTTCAGATGGCCCCACCTCATAGGCACCTTCAGCAATTGCTGAGCTGGAAAAGTCCCAAGAGGGACATATTTGTGGGCTTGTAACTGTTTAACATGATGAATGTTTTGTGTCCGTTAGAGTTGATCACATCTCTTCATTTGTTCTTGGTCCTCAATTATATTCTCCCCCTGCACGTTCTTTCCTGTGGGCCTGATCCTCCTTTTCCCTATACATGTGGGCATGGAAACTGGCACAGTAGGGGTCGTGGTGAAGTGGGAAGGTAGGAGGACCTTGGGCTTCCATTGCAAGGGGTTGCACAGGATACAGCTGTGGATACCATCTGCCTCCTCCTTGGAGTGTTTTCTAGGAAGGAGCAGGCCCCATTGTCTGAGTAAATTCCTGGGTGAAGTCCTTCAGAAGTTCTTCAGAATCCTCACCAGCTGTGACCAACCATACATTGCATAGAGTATTTTCCATATAATACTAGAAAACTGATACATGTTGATAAGTGCACAGTAATGCACATTGAAAAGGAGGACTTGTGGCGCCTTAGAGACTAACAAATTTATTTGAGCATAAGCTTTAGCTCATAAAAGCTTATGCTCAAATAAATTTGTTAGTCTTTAAGGTGCCACAAGTACTCCTTTTCTTTTTGTGAATACAGACTAACACGGCTGCTACTCTGAAACCTGTCAGTAATGCACATTGGAAAACATAATCCCAACTATAAATATAAAATTATGGGGTCTCAATTAGCTGTTACCACTTAAAAAAGTCGATTTATGAGAGCCAGACAGAAAGGGAAACATAATAATATCACCCTGATTCAGTGCTATGCTCTGACAAATGACAGTGATTAAGAAGTAAAGGACAAATTCTACCTTACACTACAGGCGGAATTAGAGAGAGTACCACACCATGACCTAACTATCATCATAGGAGACCTGAATGCCAAGGTCGGTAAGGACAACACAAACAATGACAGAGCAATGGGAAGACATGGGTGTGGCATCATGAATGAAAATGAAATCATAGAATATCAGGGTTGGAGGGACCTCAGGAGGTCATCTAGTCCAACCCCCTGCTCAAAGCAGGACCGATCCCCGACTAAATCATCCCAGCCAGGGCTTTGTCAAGCCTGATCTTAGAATCATAGAATCATAGAATATCAGGGTTGGAAGGGACCCCTGAAGGTCATCTAGTCCAACCCCCTGCTCGAAGCAGGACCAATTCCCAGTTAAATCATCCCAGCCAGGGCTTTGTCAAGCCTGACCTTAAAAACCTCTAAGGAAGGAGATTCTACCACCTCCCTAGGTAACACATTCCAGTGTTTCACCACCCTCTTAGTGAAAAAGTTTCTCCTAATATCCAACCTAAATCTCCCCCACTGCAACTTGAGACCATTACTCCTTGTTCTGTCATCCGCTACCACTGAGAACAGTCTAGAGCCATCCTCTGGAACCCCCTTTCAGGTAGTTGAAAGCAGCTATCAAATCCCCCCTCATTCTTCTCTTCTGAAGACTAAACATCCCCAGTTCCCTCAGCCTCTCCTCATAAGTCATGTGTTCCAGTCCCCTAATCATTTTTGTTGCCCTCTGCTGGACTCTTTCCAATTTTTCCACATCCTTCTTGTAGTGTGGGGCCCAAAACTGGACACAGTACTCCAGATGAGGCCTCACCAATGTCGAACAGAGGGGAACGATCACGTCCCTCGATCTGCTGGCAATGCCCCTACTTATACATCCCAAAATGCCATTGGCCTTCTTGGCAACAAGGGCACACTGTTGACTCATATCCAGCTTCTCGTCCACTGTAATGCCTAGGTCCTTTTCTGCAGAACTGCTGCCAAGCCATTCGGTCCCTAGTCTGTAGCAGTGCATGGGATTCTTCCGTCCTAAGTGCAGGACTCTGCACTTGTCCTTGTTGAATGGAGAAAGGCTTGTTGATTTCTGTCATATGAATGACCTAGTCATTGGCGGAACCCTATATGAACATTGTGAAATTCACAAGCTGACACGGTGTTCTCCAAGAAATGCACTCCAAGACAAGAACCGGATTGACCATATCATGATCAATGGCAAATGGCGACGCGTTCTGACAGATGTCAATGTGAGAAGTGGTGCAGATGTTGGCAGCAACCACCACCTTGTGACAGCCTCCATCAAGCTAAAACTGAGAAGTGTGGGTCCACCAAACAAGGGACATAGACGTTATGATAAGCTAAAGTCCCTTGAAATACAGAAAGAAAGAAACAAAGAAAACCTTTGTTCTGCAGTTAAAGAACAGGTTTCAAGCACTTGCAGACCTTGATGAAGAGGAGGGGAATGTAGATGAGGAGATCAACAAGAAGTGGGACAAAGTAACAGCAATTTATAAACAGAGCAGTGAAGCCTGTCTAGGCTACAGGCGGAAGAGAAGGAAGGAGTGGATTACACCCAGCACATGGAACGCCAGAGAAATCAGATGAGCCCTGAAGAAAAAAGTTTTAGACACAAAAATCCCAGAAGCTAAAGAACAGATACCATGAACAGTATAGCAATGCACACAGGGAGGTCAAATGCCTTGCGAGAGTGGACAAACTGCATTATATTGATAATCTGGCAACACGAGCAGAGGATGCAACTGCTCATGGTGAACAAGGAACCGTCTATAAAACGATGTGGCTTATCAGTGGTAAACAACAGACACCAACAAACACACTCTACAGGAACAAATAAGGACACCAACTAACAACCGAAAAAGAACAAGAAATGCACTGGACAGAGCATTTCAAAGAATTGCTGAACAGGGAGCCACCTAAAGAGGAAGCAAACTTCCAGGAGGCAGAAGAAGATCTTGATATCAGACACCTCAACTAAGGAAGAGATCATTCAAGCCATCAAATCCTTAAAAAATGGGAAAGCTCCTGGCAAGGATAACTTGAATGCAGAATTGTTCAAGGTAAATCCTAAATTAAGAGCATCTATCCTGGCCCCTCTATTTACATCAGTCTGGGAAAGGGAAAAAGTGCCAGATGAGTGGACCCATGGGGTTGTAGTGAAGATACCAAAGAAAGGAACTCTCAGTGATTGTAATAACTGGCATGGTATCACACTTTTATCTGTGCCAAGCAAAGTATTGTGTAAGATCATAGGTTTCAGAGTAACAGCCGTGTTATTCTGTATTCGCAAAAAGAAAAGGAGTACTTGTGGCACCTTAGAGACTAACCAATTATTTGAGCATAAGCTTTCGTGAGCTACAGCTCACTTCATCGGATGCATACTGTGGAAAATACAGAAGATGCTTTTATACATACAAACCATGAAAAAAATGGGTGTTTACCACTGCAAAATGTTTTCTCTCCCCCCACCCCACTCTCCTGCTGGTAATAGCTTATCTAAAGTGATCACCTTCCTTACAATGTGTATGATAATCAAGGTGGGCCATTTCCAGCACAAATCCAGGTTTTCTCCCCCCCTCCCCCTTTTCCACACACACAAACCCACTAGCTTATCTAAAGTGATCACTCTCCTTACAATGTGTATGATAATCAAGGTGGGCCATTTCCAGCACAAATCCAGGGTTTAATAAGAACGTCTGAGGAACGGGGGGTGGGGGTGGGGGTGTGGTAGGAAAAAACAAGGGGAAATAGGTTACCTTGCATAATGACTTAGCCACTCCCAGTCTCTATTCAAGCCTAAGTTAATTGTATCCAATTTGCAAATGAATTCCAATTCAACAGTTTCTCGCTGGAGTCTGGTTTTGAAGTTTTTCTGTTGTAATATCGCAACTTTCATGTCTGTAATCACGTGACAAGAGAGATTGAAGTGTTCTCCGACTGGTTTATGAGGTCATAATATTGCCTCACCATCGCCAGTATGGATAGTGGATTATGTTCTCACCAACATAGAAACATTCACATACTTGGGCGGCACCATCAGCCAGGACGGTGGAACAAGCCAGGACATCTGGAACAAAATCAATAAAGCCAGAAACGCCTTCAGGAGCTTAAATACAGTCTGGAAATCATCAAAATACACCAAAACCAAACTCAAGATTTATCAGAGCTGCGTACTTTCAACACTGCTTTAGAGTGCAGAATGCTGGGGAAAGAGAAAGTCTGACATGTCCAAACTGTCTTCATTCCATACAACCTGCCTCAGAAAAATCCTCCATATCTTTTGGCCCAGAACAATCTCAAACCAAGATCTAATGACACAGTGCAGCCAAGAGGATCTGAGCACCATCATTGTCAGGAAGTATTGGAGTTGCAGCTAGCAAGAGATGTTAAGAGTAACAAGAGGGGTTTCTTCAAGTATGTTAGCAACAAGAAGAAAGTCAAGGAAAGTGTGGGCCCCTTACTGAATGAGGGAGGCAACCTAGTGACAGAAGATGTGGAAAAAGCTAATGTACTCAATGCTTTTTTTGCCTCTGTCTTCACGAACAAGGTCAACTCCCAGACTGCTGCGCTGGGCAGCACAGCATGGGGAGGAGGTGACCAGCCTTCTGTGGAGAAAGAAGTGGTTCGGGACTATTTAGAAAAGCTGGACGTGCACAAGTCCATGGGGCCGGATGCGTTGCATCTGAGAGTGCTAAAGGAATTGGCGGATGTGATTGCAGAGCCATTGGCCATTATCTTTGAAAACTCATGGCGATCGGGGGAGGTCCCGGACAACTGGAAAAAGGCTAATGTAGTGGCCATCTTTAAAAAAGGGAAGAAGGAGGATCCTGGGAACTACAGGCCAGTCAGCCTCACCTCAGTCCCTGGAAAAATCATGGAGCAGGTCCTCAAGGAATCAATTCTGAAGCACTTAGAGGAGAGGAAAGTGATCAGGAACAGTCAGCATGGATTCACCAAGGGCAAGTCATGCCTGACTAATCTAATTGCCTTCTATGACGAGATAACTGGCTCTGTGGATGAAGGGAAAGCGGTGGTCATGTTGTTCCTTGACTTTAGCAAAGCTTTTGACACAGTCTCCCACAGTATTCTTGCCAGCAAGTTAAAGAAGTATGGGCTGGATGAATGGACTATAAGGTGGATAGAAAGCTGGCTACATTGTTGGGCTCAACGGGTAGCGATCAATGGCTCCATGTCTAGTTGGCAGAAAGTACCAAGTGGAGTGCCCCAAGGGTTGGTCCTGAGGCCGGTTTTGTTCAATATCTTCATAAATGATCTGGAGGATGGTGTGGATTGCACCCTCAGCAAGTTTGCAGATGACACTAAACTGGGAGGAGAGGTAAATATGCTGGAGGGTAGGGATAGGATACAGAGGGACCTAGATAAATTAGAGGTTTGGGCCAAAAGAAATCTGATGAAGTTCAACAAGGACAAGTGCAGAGTCCTGCACTTAGGACGGAAGAATCCCATGCACTGCTACAGACTAGGGACCGAATGGCTCGGCAGCAGTTCTGCAGAAAAGGACCTAGGGGTTACAGTTGATGAGAAGCTGGATATGAGTCAACAATTGTGCCCTTGTTGCCAAGAAGGCCAATGGCATTTTGGGATGTATAAGTAGGGGCATTGCCAGCAGATCGAGGGACGTGATTGTTCCCCTCTAGTCGACACTGGTGAGGCCTCATCTGGAGTACTGTGTCCAGTTTTGGGCCCCACACTACAAGAAGGATGTGGAAAAATTGGAGAGAGTCCAGCGGAGGGCAACAAAAATGATTAGGGGACTGGAACACATGACTTATGAGGAGAGGCTGAGGGAACTGGGCATGTTTAGTCTACAGAAGAGAAGAATGAGGGGGGATTTGATCGCTGCTTTTAACTACCTGAAAGGGGGTTCCAAAGAGGATGGCTCTAGACTGTTCTCAGTGGTAGCAGATGACAGAACAAGGAGTAATGGTCTCAAGTTGCAGTGGGGGAGATTTAGGTTGGATATTAGGAAAAAAATTTTCACTATGAGGGTAGTGAAACACTGGATGCGTTACCTAGGGAGGTGGTGGAATCTCCTTCCCTAGAAGTTTTTAAGGTCAGGCTTGACAAAGCCCTGGCTGGGATGATTTAATTGGGGATCGGTCCTGCTTTGAGCAAGGTTTTGGACTAGATGACCTCCAGAGGTCCCTTCCAACCCTGATATTCTATGATTCTATGGATTGGTTGTGGGCTTTGGATGGAAACTGATTCCATCAGCAGAGTAGCAATAAGATGGACTCTTGAAGGCAAGCGAAGACAAGGCTGCCCAAAACCAACATGGCGAAGAGCTGTGGAAGCCAAGCTGAAAAACCTGGGGCACAGTTGGGGAACCATTGAAAGACTTGCCAGAAACAGACAGGAGTGGAGGAGCTTCGTCACTGCCCTAAACGCCAGAGCCGTAATAGGAACATGTTGATGGTGATGGCTCAAGAAAGAGATCTTGGAGTCATTGTGGATAGTTCTCTGAAAGCTTCCACTCAAAGTGCAGCAGCAGTCAAAAAATCTAACAGCATGTTGGGAATCATTAGGAAAGGGATAGATAATAAGACAAAATATCATATTGCCTCTATATAAATCTATGCCCACATCTTGAATATTGCATGTAGATGTGGTTACCCCATCTCAAAAAAGATATATTGGAATTGGAAAAGGTTCAGAAAAGGGCAACAAAAATGATTATGGGTATGGAACAGCTTCCATTAGGAGAGATTAATAAGACTGGGACTTTTCAGCATGGAAAAGAGATGACTAAGGGGGGAGATGATAGAGGTCTATAAAATCATGACTGGTGTGGAGAAAGTAAATAAGGAAGTGTTATTTACTCCTCATAAAACAAGAATTAGTGGTCACCCAATTAAATTAATGGGCAGCAGGTTTAAAACAAACGAAAGGAAGTATTTCTTCACACAACGCACAGTCAGGCTCTGGAACTCTTTGCCGGGGAGGTTGTGAAGGCCAAAACTATAACAGGGTTCAAAAAAGAACTAGATATGTTCATGGAGGATAGGCCCACCAATGGCTGTTAGTAAAGCTACAAATTTGTCATGGATATTTTTAGTAAAAGTCAAGGACAGGTCACGGGCAAGAAACAAAATATCACAGGACCTGTGACCTGTCCCTGACTTTTACTGAAAACATCCTTGACAAAATGGGGAAGGAGGAGGGTTCAGCTCCTCCCGTCTGCAACAGCTGGAGGCTGCAGGGACCCCCAACTGCTGGCTTCAGCAGATGTTACTGAATATGTTCAGTTCATGTGAGCATGCTCAGTACACCCTAAGTAGCACATTCAGTCAGGTAGCAATTATTCACACTACATGGCTGCTGGTCAGCTGTGGGGGCCCCCAATGTCACAGAGGTTTCTGGAAGTCACAGATTCTGTGACTTCCTGACTTCTGTGACATAATCGTAGCCTTAGCTATAAGCCAGGATGGGCAGGGATGGTGGCCCTAGCCTTGGTGTCCCAAGCTGGGAATGGACAACAGGGGATGGACCACTTGATGATTGCCCTGCTCTGTTCATTCCCTCTGGGGCACCTGGCATTGGCCACTGTCGGAAGACAGGATACTGGGCTTGATGGACCTTTGGTTTGACCCAGTCTGGCCGTTCTTATGATCCTAGGGTGCTTTTCCCACTTAAGGCAGTGCTTGTGTAACCCACACACCTCCTGGGTGTGGTGTTCTGTCCCAATCAGTGGCACCGAGACAGTTGGCTTTTAGCTCATGTGGTAGAGGCTCAGGCACTAAGCTCCAGAAGCCCCAGGTTTGATCCTGCCTGCCGACAACCGACCGGGGTTGGTTGGTGTTACACTTGCAGTGCCAGCCCTGAATTCTCTCGTGTAGAGACTCACTAGAGAACCCATAAAAGAGTAGTAGGGAAATAATAAAATAGTGTTTGCTTTTGTTATATTGGAACAGTAACCACGCTAGGCTATTTGTGTTTCTGCATTCTGGAAGTTGTTGGAAGGAGCTGGGGGTTTCTACAACTGCATAGGGGGATGGGCTCTTGTCACCTGGGGAAGTAGGGAAGACAGTTTGGATTGATAGTGTTAATTTTGCAACCATGGGGTTTAAAAACTTGATTTTTAAAAACGGAACCTTAGATTCTGGATCCTGACTCTGTAGTGATGAAAGCCACTCTGTAATGTAGACAGCTGTTACCAGGATAGGCTGGCCCAGTACAGGACTGTAGGCCCACATTAGATTTGGATGAACTATGTTTTTAAATTGAGTTGTGATATTGGCATGACCAACAGGCCCAAAGCACGTGACCAAAAAGGAAATCATAGAATCATAGAATATCAGGGTTGGAAGGGACCCCAGAAGGTCATCTAGCCCAACCCCCTGCTCAAAGCAGGACCAATTCCCAGTTAAATCATCCCAGCCAGGGCTCTGTCAAGCCTGACCTTAAAAACCTCTAAGGAAGGAGATTCTACCACCTCCCTAGGTAACGCATTCCAGTGTTTCACCACCCTCTTAGTGAAAAAGTTTTTCCTAATATCCAATCTAAACCTCCCCCACTGCAACTTGAGACCATTACTCCTCGTTCTGTCATCTGCTACAATTGAGAACAGTCTAGAGCCATCCTCTTTGGAACCCCCTTTCAGGTAGTTGAAAGCAGCTATCAAATCCCCCCTCATTCTTCTCTTCTGCAGGCTAAACAATCCCAGCTCCCTCAGCCTCTCCTCATAACTCATGTGTTCCAGTCCCCTAATCATTTTTGTTGCCCTTCGCTGGACTCTCTCCAATTTATCCACATCCTTCTTGAAGTGTGGGGCCCAAAACTGGACACAGTACTCCAGATGAGGCCTCACCAATGTCGAATAGAGGGGAACGATCATGTCCCTCGATCTGCTCGCTATGCCCCTACTTATACATCCCAAAATGCCATTGGCCTTCTTGGCAACAAGGGCACACTGCTGACTCATATCCAGCTTCTCGTCCACTGTCACCCCTAGGTCCTTTTCCGCAGAACTGCTGCCTAGCCATTCGGTCCCTAGTCTGTAGCTGTGCATTGGGTTCTTCCGTCCTAAGTGCAGGACCCTGCACTTATCCTTATTGAACCTCATCAGATTTCTTTTGGCCCAATCCTCCAATTTGTCTAGGTCTTTCTGTATCCTATCCCTCCCCTCCAGCGTATCTACCACTCCTCCCAGTTTAGTATCATCCGCAAATTTGCTAAGAGTGCAATCCACACCATCCTCCAGATCGTTTATGAAGATATTGAACAAAACCGTCCCCAGGACCGACCCTTGGGGTACTCCACTTGATACCGGCTGCCAACTAGATATGGAGCCATTGACCGCTACCCGTTGAGCCCGACAATCTAGCCAGCTTTCTACCCACCTTGTAGTGCATTCATCCAGCCCATACTTCCTTAACTTGCTGACAAGAATACTGTGGGAGACCGTGTCAAAAGCTTTGCTAAAGTCAAGAAACAATACATCCACTGCTTTCCCTTCATCCACAGAACCAGTAATCTCATCATAAAAGGCGATTAGATTAGTCAGGCATGACCTTCCCTTGGTGAATCCATGCTGGCTGTTCCTGATCACTTTCCTCTCATGCAAGTGCTTCAGGATTGATTCTTTGAGGACCTGCTCCATGATTTTCCCAGGGACTGAAGTGAGGCTGACTGGCCTGTAGTTCCCAGGATCCTCCTTCTTCCCTTTTTTAAAGATTGGCACCACATTAGCCTTTTTCCAGTCATCCGGGACTTCCCCGGTTCGCCACGAGTTTTCAAAGATAATGGCCAATGGCTCTGCAATCACAGCTGCCAATTCCTTCAGCACTCTCGGATGCAACTCGTCCGGCCCCATGGACTTGTGCACGTCCAGCTTTTCTAAATAGTCCCTAACCACCTCTATCTCCACAGAGGGCTGGCCATCTCTTCCCCATTTTGTGATGCCCAGCGTAGCAGTCTGGGAGCTGACCTTGTTAGTGAAAACAGAGGCAAAAAAAGCATTGAGTACATTAGCTTTTTCCACATCCTCTGTCACTAGTTTGCCTCCCTCATTCAGTAAGGGGCCCACACATTCCTTGGCTTTCTTCTTGTTGCCAACATACCTGAAGAAACCCTTCTTGTTACTCTTGACATCTCTGGCTAGCTGCAGCTCCAGGTGCGATTTGGCCCTCCTGATAACATTCCTACATGCCCGAGCAATATTTTTATACTCTTCCCTGGTCATATGTCCAACCTTCCACTTCTTGTAAGCTTCTTTTTTATGTTTAAGATCCGCTAAGATTTCACCATTAAGCCAAGCTGGTCGCCTGCCATATTTACTATTCTTTCGACTCATCGGGATGGTTTGTCCCTGTAACCTCAACAGGGATTCCTTGAAATACAGCCAGCTCTCCTGGACTCCTTTCCCCTTCAAGTTAGTCCCCCAGGGGATCCTGGCCATCCGTTCCCTGTGGGAGTCGAAATCTGCTTTCCTGAAGTCCAGGGTCCGTATCGTGCTGCTTACCTTTCTTCCCTGTGTCAGGATCCTGAACTCAACTAACTCATGGTCACTGCCTCCCAGATTCCCATCCACTTTTGCTTCCCCCACTAATTCTACCCGGTTTGTGAGCAGCAGGTCAAGAAAAGCGCCCCCCCTAGTTGGCTCCTCTAGCACTTGCGCCAGGAAATTGTCCCCTACGCTTTCCAAAAACTTCCTGGATTGTCTATGCACCGCTGTATTGCTCTCCCAGCAGATATCAGGAAAATTAAAGTCACCCATGAGAATCAGGGCATGCGATCCAGTAGCTTCTGTGAGCTGCCGGAAGAAAGCCTCATCTACCTCATCCCCCTGGTCCGGTGGTCTATAGCAGACTCCCACCACTACATCACTCTTGTTGCACACACTTCTAAACTTAATCCAGAGACACTCAGGTTTTTCTGCAGTTTCGTACCGGAGCTCTGAGCAGTCATACTGCTCCCTTACATACAGTGCTACTCCCCCACCTTTTCTGCCCTGCCTGTCCTTCCTGAACAGTTTATAACCATCCATGACAGTACTCCAGTCATGTGAGTTATCCCACCAAGTCTCTGTTATTCCGATCACGTCATAGTTCTTTGACATCACCAGGACCTCCAGTTCTCCCTGCTTGTTTCCAAGGCTTTGTGCATTTGTATATAAGCACTTGAGATAACCTGTTGATCGCCCCTCATTCCCAGTATGAGGCAGGAGCCCTCCCCTCACAGACATTCCTGCCTGTGCTTCCTCCCGGTATCCCGCTTTCCCACTTACCTCAGGGCTTTGGTCTCCTTCCCCCGGTGAACCTAGTTTAAAGCCCTCCTCACTAGGTTAGCCAGCCTGCTCACGAAGATGCTCTTCCCTCTCTTCGTTAAGTGGAGCCCGTCTCTGCCTAGCACTCCTTCTTCTTGGAACACCATCCCATGGTCGAAGAATCCAAAGCCTTCTCTCCGACACCACCTGCGTAGCCATTCGTTGACTTCCACGATTCAACGCTCCCTACCTAGGCCTTTTCCTTCCACGGGGAGGATGGATGAGAACACCACTTGCGCCTCCAACTCCTTTATCCTTCTTCCTAGAGCCACATATCATACGAAAGAAGAGTTGTTGTGTTAAACTTATAGTGACCCTTTGAAATACAAGCATTCCCTTTTTTAAGGTTTGAGCTAAAGTACTAGAAATAAAACACCGTTAATTGCAGTAAATACTTGGCTATATAAAAAACTCCTTCACCTGACCTTAGCTAAGGTTCAATAATTGGTAATGACATCACTTTATGTTTAGCATATAAAAATAAACTCTTAAAGGGTTCATTGCTAATATCTGCCTGACCAAGTTGGAGCTGACGAATGAGTCTAAGGACCCCTGGCTTTAGCCCATTTGTAAGTACCTTGATCAAATGCTTTTGTTCTGTTTGGCTGAGGTAAATTGCTATTTATGTAGGCTTTTTAGGCATGGTTAGCTCAATTGCATAAACACCATTTGACCTTTGGGGATTGAATAAAGGAATTTATGGTTAAATTAGTGTCATGGTAATACTCTGCATAAATAATAACTCCAACACCCAGGCAGGGGCTCCACAGAGCAGAAGGGAGGAGAGTAGAATCCAGGTAGCAAATGCAAGGCTTTCCCCAGCCTACTGTAGGGAAGGGGAGCATGTGTTCATGAACAGCCAGAATGAGATTAATAGATTCTAAAGCCACAAGGAACCATTGTGATCATCTAGTCTGGCCTCCTGTAAAAAACAGACAGAGAATGACCCACAATTATTCCTAGAGCAAATCTTTTATAAAACCTTTCAATCTTGATTGAAAAATTGCCCATGATGGAGAATCTACCATGACCCTTAGTGAATTGTTCCAGTGGTTAATTACTCTCACTGTGACAAAATGTACACCTTATTTCCAGTCTGAATTTCTCTAGTTTCAGCTTCCAGCCACTGGATAGTGTTAAACGTTTTTCTGCCAGACTGAAAAACCCATGATCAAATATTTGTTCCCCCTGTCAGTACTTATGGACTGCAATCCAGGTAGCCTTCTCTTTCTCCTGCCAAAGAGACTGAGCACTATAAGGGAGGCTTTCTAATCCTTGAATCATTCTTGTGGGCCCTCTCTGACCCCTCTCCTGTTGATCAACATCTGACTTGAGCTGTACTTGACACCTGAACTGGTCACGGCAGTCCAGCAGTGGTGGCACCCGTGCCAGATTCAGAGGGAAAATCACCTCGCGGCTCCTACTGGAAGTTCTCCGTACCCCTGTTAGCCCCTTGGGCTGAAGCCCAGCCCATATTCAGCTATTACTCACCAGGGCCCCAGCTTTCTTTGGGAGTTGCTGCCCCAAGCTGCACGCCTGATGCCTGCATGGACGAGGGAGGGGCCCCAGCTGGGGGGCAGGGCAGGCTGCGCCCATCCCCCTGGCCTCACGCCTGGTGCCTGCCTGGACGGGGGGGCCCCCAGCTGGGGGCAGGGCAGGCTGCGCCCATCCCCCTGGCCTCATGCCTGGTGCCTGCCTGGACGGGGGGACCGCCAGCTGGGGGCAGGGCAGGCTGCGCCCATCCCCCTGGCCTCACGCCTAGTGCCTGCCTGGACGGGGGGGCCCCAGCTGGGGGCAGGGCAGGCTGCGCCCATCCCCCTGGCCTCACGCCTGGTGCCTGCCTGGACGGGGGGACCGCCAGCTGGGGGCAGGGCAGGCTGCGCCCATCCCCCTGGCCTCACGCCTGGTGCCTGCCTGGACGGGGGGGCCCCCAGCTGGGGGCAGGGTAGGCTGCGCCCATCCCCCTGGCCTCACGCCTGGTGCCTGCCTGGACGGGGGGGCCCCCAGCTGGGGGCAGGGCAGGCTGCGCCCATCCCCCTGGCCTCACGCCTGGTGCCTGCCTGGACGGGGGGGCCGCCAGCTGGGGGCAGGGCAGGCTGCGCCCATCCCCCTGGCCTCACGCCTGGTGCCTGCCTGGGGGGGCCCCAGGGGGAGGGAGGCTGCGCCCACCCCCGGCCTCACGCCTGGGCCGCCAGGACGGGGGGCCCCAGCTGGGGGCAGGGCAGGCTGCGCCCATCCCCCTGGCCTCACGCCTGGTGCCTGCCTGGACGGGGGGGCCGCCAGCTGGGGGCAGGGCAGGCTGCGCCCATCCCCCTGGCCCCGGGCCGCCCCGCCCCAGCCAGGGCTGCCGGCCAGACCGTTCCAGATGCCCCGCCCCCAGCGCGGTCCCTGCTCGGCTGGAGGGGCGGGCTCTGCCCGGGTGCCGTCCAATCGGGAGGCGGCGGCGGCGGGCCGGGCGCGTGCCATTGGTCCGCCCGTGCGGGCTGCCAGCAGGGTGCGTTGCGCCGCGCTGCGGTTAGTGCCGTGGCTGTCGGCGACGTAGCGAGCGGCCCCGGGCGGCGGCGGCGAGAGCGGGAGGCGCCGGGCCCAGCCCGGTGAGTGCGGCCTGTCAGCGGCCGGGCCGGCGCCAGGGGCCTGCGGGCCGCGGCGGGGTGTGGGGCGGGGGCCCGAGCCCGAGGCCTGGGGGGGGGCCCGAGACCCGGCGGGGGGGGGGCGCGGCGGCGGGGGGGGCGCGGCCCGAGACCCGGCGGGGGGGGGGCGGCGGCGGCGGGGGGCCCGAGACCCGGCGGGGGGGGCGCGGCGGCGGGGGGCGCGGCCCGAGACCCGGCGGGGGGGGCGGCGGCGGGGGGCGAGAGGCGGGGGGCGCGCGGCGGGGGCCGAGACCCGGCGGGGGGCGCGGCGGCGGGAGGGGGAGCCCGAGACCCGGGGGGGCGCGGCGGCGGGGGGGGGGGGCCGGGGGGGCGCGGCGGCGGGGGGGCCGGGGGCCGAGGCCCGGGAGTCCGAGGCGGGGGGGGGGGCCCGAGGCGCGGCGGGGGCGGGGGCCTGGCGGGGGGGGGGTGTGGGCCTGAGGCGGGGGGTGGGGGGTGGGGGCGAGGGCGGGGGGGTGGGGGGTGGCGGGGGCGGGGGGGGGCTGAGGGGGGCGGGGGGGGGGGGCCGAGGCGCGGGGGGGGGGGGCTGGGGGGGTGGGGGAGCGCGGCAGGGGGCGGGGGCCTGGCGGGGGCGGGGGTGCTGGGCCTGAGGCGGGGCGGTGGGGGGTGGGGGCCCGAGGCGCGGCGGGGGGTGGGGGGCCTGGCGGGGGGCGGGGGTGCTGGGCCTGAGGCGGGGCGGTGGGGGGTGGGGGCCCGAGGCGCGGCGGGGGGTGGGGGGCCGGGCGGGGTTGCTGGGCCTGAGGCGGGGCGGCGGGGGGTGGGGGCCCGAGGCGCGGCGGGGGGTGGGGGGCCTGGCGGGGCGGTGGGGGGTGGGGGCCCGAGGCGCGGCGGGGGGTGGGGGGCCTGGCGGGGGTGCTGGGCCCGAGGCGAGGCTGGGGGGTCTCCGGGCTGGGCGGGCACTGACCGGGGCTGCGGGGTTCCCAGGCTCGAATCTGCTTCTCCCCGTTCCCCGGGCGGGCCGGAGACGTCCCATTCCCGGGAGCTGGTGGGGCGGGTCTGCCCCGTCAGCCAGGACCGAGCTTGGGCACTGGCTGGGCAAGTCCCCGGCGGGTGCTCGCCAGCTTGCCGGTGCTTGTATGAGCTTGTGACACTTCCCCGTAGCAGAGTTGGCCCCAAATCCGCCTCTTCCCCGGTCTAGGGATCTGCTGCACCGAAATGATTCTGGGAAGTCCCGAGAATGGCCTACGGTGCTGTTGGCTGGGTCCCAGGCCACTGGTACCCATGTGCAGGGCTCGCTCTTTGCACCTCTGGTAATGCCCAGAAAAATGCAGCTCTGCTTGCCTGAGCAGCAAGATTTCTCCACCTTAACCAAGCCCTTGTTCTTGAGCCTTCCCAGAAAACAAGGCCTGCAGCTGAAGTGTGTGAGAGAGACAGAGGGCCCCCCACAGTGATTGACCCAGAACTGCCTGTAGGAGAATGGGAAACGAGCAAAACTCTTCACCCTCTGGTGGATCCGATTTCACAGAAAGAATGTTCTCCCCAAGCAACGAGGGGGGCTGCCGTACTTCAGGAACTTGTGGGGTGAGCTCACTGGTTGGGCCCAAAGCAGATCTGCAGTGGTCAGACACCAAGTGCTGCTTTGCTAAGTCTTAGAAGAATCAAGTCAAACTCTTCATCCTGAGTGAGCTGCCCTGAGCTTGAGAGTGGCTGTCCTTGGGGAATATCCGCTCCACTTTCCTTAGTACAGTGCTGGGTGCTTGACTAGAGGTGGTATATGAGCTTTGTTATGGTTTCCAGGTACTAGAGTTGCATCCCATCATGTCTGAAGGAGAAGCCAAGCAGGTTCCCAGCAGTGGCTCAGACACAAAGCCAGAATCCACATCTTCTGGGCCAGGAATGACCTCCATGTCTCCACCAGTGACTTCTGCAGCTCCAGCAGCACCCCAGGAGGAGGAGGAAGAGGAGGAGAGTGAAGATGAGTCTGAAATCCTTGAAGAATCTCCTTGTGGACGGTGGCAAAAGAGACGTGAAGAGGTCAGTGCGCAGCAAATGAGCAAGGGGCAGGGAACTTGTAATGTTGGAAGGCCAAGACTGTAACAGATTCAAAAAAGAACTAGATAAATTCATGGAGGATAGATCCATCAATGGCTATTAGCTAGGATGCGCAGGGATGATGTCCCTAGCCTCTGTTTGCCAGAAGCTGGGAGTGGGCGATAGGATGGATCACTTGATGATTCCCTGTTCTAGGCATTGGCCACTGTCAGAAGACAGGATACTGGGCTAGAGGGACCTTTGGTCTAACCCAGTATGGCTGTTCTTATGTTCTAATGGCCTCTATTGAGGGGTGAAACACAGAAAATAGGGGATGTGATGAGGATCAGAGGTGGGGGCCTATGTGAGCTTGTGAAATGCTGTACTTTCTTTTGGGTATAGCTAGTGTTTGGGGCTGGTGCAGAGTTACAGTTCCCCAGGAAGAACAATGGTGGGATGAGGAAGCTCAGCCTCGGGATGAGGAACTGCTTTGTGGTCTGGCTAGAAGTGAACTAATCTGTCTGAGTAGCCCAGGGCATCTTGTCCTGTGGTTGTCATGTGACTACCTCAAAGTGAGCAGGACAGATTGGTGCCATCAGTTCTTTTTATTAGTGAGTGGTCCAGTCATAGAACTTGGTTCCCTTCCTGAGCTGAACTGTTCTCTGCCTCTCTCAAAGTAGCTTTCTTCTGTTGGTTCCTTTACATCCTTCTCTCCCTCACCCTGTCGTCATTTCCAGATGATAGTTTGCTTTGCCCCTGTTTGTGTAAGAGAATGAGACAACATACTGAATGTACCTGAGTGCTACTGAATAGCACTTCACATGATGGTGGAGTTATCTCCTACCTAATCCCCTTTGGATGGTGGCAAAAGAGAGAACTTCACAAGCCCCGTTTTGAAAATGATTTTCCTCAGTCTCTGGAATATCGAGTCAAGGGGCCTATCTGTGGTCTCTGTTTGTTAGGGTTTATTTCTCTTTTTATCCAAGCTGGGTTAGAGCTGGTGCAGTTTACTTCTGCACAGAAAATGGGCAACAGAGAAGTGAGGGATGGTGTCAAGGTTCCTTCCCCACTCTAGGGTACAGATGTGGGAATCTGCATGAAAGACCCCCTAAGCTTATTCTTACCAGCTTAGGTTAAAAACTTCCCCAAGGTACAAACTTTGCCTTGTCCTTGAACCCTATGCTGCCACCACCAAGTGTCGTACACAAAGACCAGGGAAAGAGCCCACTTGGAGACGTCTTCCCCCAGAATATCCCCCCAAGTCCTACACCCCCTTTCCTGGGGAAGGCTTGATAAGAATCCTCACCAATTTGTAGAGGTGAACAGAGACCCAAACCCTTGGATCTTAAGAACAAAGAAAAATCAATCAGGTTCTTAAAAGAAGAATTTTAATTAAAGAAAAGGTAAAAGAATCACCTCTGTAAAATCAGGCTGGTAAATACCTTACAGGGTAATCAGATTCAAAACACAGAATCTCTCTAGGCAAAATCTTAAATTACAAAAAGACACAAAAGCAGGAATATCCATTCCACCCAGCACAGCTTATTTTACCAGCCATTAAACAAAAGGAAATCTAACTCATTTGTAGCTAGATTACTTACTAACTAACAGGGGTTGTGAGTCTGCATTCCTGATCTATTCCTGGCAAAAGCAACACACAGACTCTTTGTCGTCCCCCCCGTCCTCCCCCGCTCCCGATTTGAAAGTATCTTGTCTCCTCATTGGTCATTTGGGTCAGGTGCCTGCTAGGTTACCGTAGCTTCTTAACCCTTTACAGGTGAAAGGGTTTTGCCTCTGGCCAGGAGGGATTTTACAGCACTGTATGCAGAAAGGTGGTGACCCTTCCCTTTATCTTTATGACAGATGGTATTTGTGGCATCAGTGCACATGTCTCCTCATGTTGTTGGTTATCCAGAGAGCGTTGGCCAGTTTGTGTTTTGCTGCCTTTGTCTGGTGTGGTGACTGAGACCTTCTCTGATGTGGAGGTTACCACAATCATCCATCCCTCTGTCAGCTGCTGGCTGGACTCTTGCAGTTGTGGCTGTATTTCGGGCTTGACTTGGAACTTCAGCCAGTGCAAAATACTGCCTTTTAAGTAGGGGCACGCCATGTAAAATTGACTCACATGCTGCTTGCTCTCACTAAGCTCCTGATGCACAGCAGGGTTTTGTTTGCCCTTTATAAAGCCCCCAGTGGGCTGTCACAGACGCTAGCTTCCTTCCGTCCTCCACTGTGGCCCGTGCATTTCACGTAGTCCTAGTGGTCTGTTACCAGAGCTGACCTCCAGGCAGGTGACAGGACTTGTCTATGAGGAGCGCTTGGGTCTGGGATTTGCTTCCTGATGCGGTCTGCTAAAACAAATGTGATCTTGAGGATTGTGCAAGACACACCCCATCCTCCCTTCTCAAAGCTTGGCTTTACTAGGGAAAAAAAGTGCACGCTTACTTCATGTCCGGTATTATTAGGTAACTTCTTCATGAAGACAAGGCAGTGGTAGTTTTAACACCTAAGTTAGAAGGTCAAGGTGAACCCAAGGCTTGCTCATAGTCTTGATATTGACCTGCTAATACATGCAAAGACCATGTGGTGCCTTGTTTTCATTTTATCTCATGTTAGCTAATACCAGGGAAACAAGGTGTGCCCTTACTAGTAAAGGCATACCGTTGATGGGTACAAGGAGGGTATGTACACGCTTAATAACTGCCTGCTTGTGTGTGGTGGGATGATAGTCTACAGTTATGTGAGCACGTTTTCTTCATAGGACCCCATCTTCCTAAGCACCCAGGATGGATGGTGTTTAAGGAATGAGGCAGCTGCTCAGTATTTCTGTTTGACGTCTTAACTCAGTATGTGGCTCCGTGTCTCATTGATTGCACACCCAGATATCCACACATGGAATGACTAATGGCTTCATGGGCTTTTCTGTGGTGCTTATCACTGGCGTATTGGAGCCTAACAAACATTAAATAATTTCTCTACAGCATGCTTGTGTGGTAGAGGGGGCTTTTGCAGATAAGGAAACTGAGAAACAGACAGATGAAGGCCAAAAGTTGCAAACTTCTCCAGCTGTCTGTTTTCCAGAATATTTGGCATTTCTATAAGGTTAGGTGGGAAAATGTGGCAATATTTAATGATGGAAAACCTAAAATAAATGAGCAAAGGGACCTGTCCAATGCCACACAGTGAGTCAATGCCAGAACTCAGGGCCCACTAACTCTTCATTTTTCCAGATCAAACTGCCTTCCTGCTAGAGATGCTCAGCATCTACAGTTCCCTTTGATTTCAGCTGAAGTTGTGAGTGCTTACCACTTCTGAAAGTCAGGCTCCATGTATCTCAAGTGAGGCATCCAGAAAATGAGGAACACACAGCTAGTGGCTGCCTATGCCAGTTTTGGCTTGACTTGCCCAATGGTCACATGGGAAGTGTGTGTGTTGGATAGCATTTTTTTTTTTTTCTGGGTGGTAGTCTGTTATCTTAACCATGTGGTCAGCCTTCCTCTTTCTGCAGAGAAGCCTTCCTGAAGGCTCGCCTACATGGGGAAAGTGACCACACTAGCTGTAGCCGAATAAACTATTCACGAATAGCTCCTTGTGTGGATGCTGTTCAGGAATCAGTCACTTTATTTCAGATAAATTGCTATGGAAGTGTACTAATTATTCTGGAATTAAAGTGACTTTGATTCCAATACAGTGTTCACAGAAGGAGCTAGAGTGGAACAACTGTTCAGCTAATTTCTCTGTGTAGACAAACTTTTATTCACTACACACCACCTCCTAACTTTTGCAGCAGTGAGATAGTGATCCTGTTGAAAACCCTCTAGTCATTACACAGCTGATTCATTCTCTGAGCATCATCCATCCTGTGGAACAAAATAGTGTGTGATCGTTAGTCTACATCATGATGGATATGCATTGGGGAACAGAATTAAAGTTGCACAGGCAACCTTCATTTTGGCATTTCCTTTCTTTTGAATCATTGACTTTGCAACCTAAATAACATTCTTTTAGTGTAGTTTGGTGTATGTAATGGCCTAGGTTTCTTTACAATTATACAGAATTTGGCAGTGAGTTTTAATCTAGTGAGACCATATGTAGCAGCTGGAGAACATTGGGGCCCTGGCAAGTCACCAAGAAGAGGGCAGGTTTGCACTAGGATTTGCTAATAGAATGATGATCGCTATTAAGTGCTTATCTTTTTTATTATACACTTTATTGGGTACCAAGGGAACATGTTCAGAAATGTTTTTTTTCCTTTCTGCTTCACTCTCCTACCATTCTTGCAATAGGACAACCCCCTACAAGGGGTTTGTAGTTGCAAAGTATATAGTTTGAGTCATAAGTGAGGAAAAAAGTCTTAAAATGCTGCACAGCTGTCTTCAGTAGTTTTCCTCCCACTTCCTTGTTTCTCAGCCATTCTTCCCCATAAATATATATCCCTTGACTGAGCCCAAACGTGGAAAGTGGTGCGTGAATGGAAACAAGTTTTTGTAGTGACATCCCACATTCGTAGCCAGAGAGCTGGAAAATTCTATATGCCAGAGACCAACTCATTCTTTCTAAGAACTTACAGTTCTTTATGCAGGTTATTGAATGACAACACTTTGGATCAGTGAAATGCAGGATAGAAACAATACAAGTTTTAATATGGGTAAGTGTGTACATCTAGGACAAAAATGGAAGCCATACTCACCTGACTGGGGGGATTCTATCCTGGGAAGCAGTGACTCTGGAAAAGATTTGGGGTTGTGGTGGATAATAAGTAGAAGATGAGCTCCCAGTGTGATGCTGTGGCCAAAAGAGCTAATGCAATCCATGGATGCATAAACACAATCTATGTACCTGCATGAGGATCAAATATTTTATGATGGGCTCTTCAGTCTGTCAGAGAAAGGTAATAACATGATCCAATGGCTGGAAGCTGAAGCTAGATAAATTCACACTGGAAATAAGGCCTAAAGTTTTAAATGAGAGTAATTAACCATGGGAACAATTTACCAAGGGTC